TATATATATATATATATATACATATATATGTATATATACCCACCTATATGTATGTATATATATGCTACATATGTATATATGTCCATATATATCCATATATATAATCATTTCTAAAATATGTATCTCCCTGATCTGTTCTAGTATCTGTTCATAGACCACTGTATTTTAGAGTCCTCAAGGAAGTCTGCTGGGGTAAATGCTATGCAGTCATGTGAAAAATAAAGAGACTAAACACATACCTCATGATAATTAAAGATTTACAGTAAGAATAGCTTACTGTGGGCTTTATTTTGCTTGAGTTTGCAGAGTTTAAAAGTAAAATGTATTCATATTCTAATGCATAAGGCTGTTTTCACTGATCAAACTAGCCAGCTAAGCAGGTGACCATTATCATGGTGAATGACTGAGAAATAAATAGCTTACATTGTACTGGCAAGAAGAAAAAAAACACGTAAGTATACCTTATTGCACATTGAACTAGCATATGTTTCAGCCTGACCCTTACATATAAAATCTCAGGCAAAATAAATGTTACAAAGATTGAATAACTTTAATTAATTAAAAAGCAGTCATTAATCAGTGTTGCTATAGTTGGAGGTCCAAATAATTTATAAGACTCCTAATAATTCTTTTATGCTTTACTGCTTTGCTGTTTTTATGATACTAATTCTTGAGAATCTTAAAAAAGATAGAAGCTCCAAAAATTCACTTCATTCAAATTATCAGAAACTATCAACACACAAATGTTTCCAATATATTTTTGGTGTTGCTGTAACAAATATCATTAGACAAAGATAATTTAAAATATCTACATTAAAGCCCTAAAACATATTTTATATAATTACAAAATAAACAAATGATACCAGAGACAATTCTTTTCTCAGTCATATATTTATCCAGATGGCAATGGATTGTTTGCATTTATTGTGGAACAGCTCAAGTATCAGTGAGTGAATTGACTCACTAACTGTCATTTGGGGAAAATTTTGTATGTAAATATATCATTATGAGTTGGGATCAAATTGTTGGGTAATTCTTTTTTTGAGGTTATTTGGCATATAAAGCTATTTTGTTATAACTTCATTTTACTTCAACATAATGCATAGGATATCATCTTTGTATGTACAGAAAAATTAACCTCTGGCGTTACTATCCATAATTCAGACTAAACACAAATTCATACGTTCGTTGTCATAAGCTTGTCCAGAGTGTCATTTATATGCAAAACACGATTTGTTGTGGTTTATGGGAAAAAACAAGATGAAGTCTATTCTTAAGGATATTAAAGTTTAGAAGTAGTTAGAAACTGCTTCTACAC